GTAAAAGGTTGGCTACTACTCAGAGCTGCCAGAAGAGTTATGCCGACTGTAGGAGGCGGCCGTTGTCTTTTGAGATAAGAGATCATGTCTTCTTAAAGATATCACCTAAATGATATTTGTGATGAGGTTTGAAAAGAGTGAGAAGTTATCTCCTAGATTTTTCGGGACTTTTGAGATTCTAGAGCGGATTGGAGAGGTAACTTATAGTTTGGCCTTACCGCCACAACTTTCCAGGGTATATGACGTGTTTCATATTTGTATACTTCGGAAGTATAAGTCGGATCCATCGCACGTGTTGGATTGGACTGACTTAGAGGTAGATGAGGATGCCTTATATGAGGAGAGACCGGTAAGAGTCTTAGATACTCGAGACCAAGTCTTGCGAAAAAGGACAATTCCTTCGGTTAAAGTATTGTGGCGACATCACGGAGTTGAAAAAGCAACTTGGGAAAAGGAGTTGGAAGTCCGTGAGAAGTATCCGGACCTATTTGTTAATGTTTGAGCATGTATTGAAACTTTTGTTATGTTGATTTACTATAAACATTGTATATGTTTTGGGAATGTGAATCGTATATTCAGTATTGAGAACTTGTTTATCATGTTGATGAAAATAAATGACCGGCAAATGGGTTATGGTAATGAAATTGGTTAATTTTCATTGTTGTAATTGGTTTAAACATGGTTTTAAAGTTTGATTTATAATTTCGGGGATGAGATTTCTTAAGGGGGGAGGATATAGCGATTTTGGTTTTGACCAGACCAGTTGATGTTTTGAATTCGGGTTCCATTGCCTTATATAGTTGTTCACGTTTTGTTTCCCCTTATTTTTCATTGAATTTGGTTATTGGTATATCTTAATTGCGTTTGGGACAAGTTGGTAGCTTGTGTTTCAAAACGGTTGTTGCCCAGATTTTAGCCCCTACGCTCTAGTAGGGCTTCTTGCGCCTGAGCGTCCCTTATGAGCTCTCAGTATTTTTATAAGCCTACAAAAATACTGGGAGTGTGCATTTTTCGCTCAAGCGGTTTGGGCTCGAGCATCACTTCTTATGCTCGAGCATTGGTGTCCTATCTATAAAACTTCTGAGAGTTTGTATTCTACGCTCGAGCAGAAACTTCATGCGCTCGAGCGGTAATTTTTTTTTGTGTCTAGACGCTCGAGCGTCATTTCTTGCGCTTGAGCTGTCTGTGCGTATATCAGTTCATAAAAGTCACTTTTTACATCACTTTTCATCTCTCTCTCTCTCTAAACATTTCAAAACCCTAGATCTAAACTCTCTCTCTCTCTCTCTAAAGCTTACATTTTTTCTACAAATATACCCAGATCTATTGATTTATCCACCTTGCTCCCTTTGTTAAAAAATTATAGCTCACCTAGAGCTTCGTTTTCATCTAAATAGAGTTGGATTTTGGCTTCATCCAAGTTTTATCCGTGTTTATCTCGCCTTCTAGCTTTGAAGTAGGGGTGCTCTACCATCTTTTATGATTTTTAACTTAGATATTTGTTTTTATAAAACAATCTTGTGGTTTTGGAGGATTTTGAACAAACCTAGGATTTTGGTTTAAAATCAAAAGAGGGGTCTTCAAATGGATGTATTGAAAATGGTTGTGGAAGTGGAAATGAGGTTGAGTTGTGATAAAATTATTGATTTTGATACTTGGAATGAATTTTGGAAGAAAAAAAGGGTTTTGTCCTAAATGTCTCAAATGTTTATTTTGTATAAATAAATGAAATTGATATTGGAAATGTGAAATTAGATGGGTATTAATACGAATGGTGGAGTTGAATATGTATTATCACTTACATCTTGAAATTTGGAAAGTTTATCTATAATGAATATTTTATATTTGTTTAGAAATATATGTTTTAGGCTATCGGTGGAGGATAGCTATGATGGTTGTAGAAATTGCATGAGGATTAAGTGAATTGAAACTAATTTATCATTCATTTGCATTGAGTATTATCACATCTTGGTACATTGTACATGTATATGATTTTGAGAAAAATTGGTGAACATAGGAAAGAGATGTGTATCACTAAATCAAGTTGGCCTATGTGTCCAGAGTAAAAGTCTCAAAAAACGCGCGTATACATGGGTGCCAGTTCCTGCGAACGAAATATCCGTAAAATGGCAAGTGTAGTGCTCGTATAGACTACGTTTGCATGAGTGTCGTTTGATGGTTTCTCGTGAACGATATATCCGTGAAAGGTTGTATTGGTTTGAGATTTCCCCATGTTTTCTAATTTAAAGGAAATGAATGATGAATTGTGATATAAACTAGACTTTGCATGATTTTGGAAAGAGAAATGAGACGTTTTGGTCATGAGCATTACATATCCATTTCACCCTTATATCTTTGTTAAGATTCGTATATTGTGTTGGATTATTTCTACTAGGTTTTGGCTCAACCTATATGGAAAAAACCATTTTTAGGTGTTGGTTAGATGCTTCCGCCAAGGCAGTAGCTTGGGAAAATTTAAGCAAATGCTTCATTTTGTTTACTAGTCGTAATTATTTTGTACAAGCTTAGGGCTTTACTTGTAGTGGATTTAAATCCATTTTGATGTAACCAAATACAGTCTTGAAAAATTATAGCCTTTAGGGCATTTCAATTATTTGTTTAAGTTTTATTTCATATCTTTGTTGTTGACGCATGCTATAAATTCAGGGTTAGGACTTATGAATGTATAATTGCATGTGTCACCCTTTTGTACAACTGAGTCTTATGTAATTGAAGGATATTATGCTCTAATTTGTATTGTTATTTACTTATCGTCATGGATGATTTATTGTATTTAGTTCGGGGCATTACAATGTAAGTTTTATGTGTAAATATTCAGCTTGTCTGGATTGTTGCATTTAATTGAGGTCACAAACTATTCTAACTTTTATAGAATTTTTGTAAGAAATTTCTTGTGTTTTAATTTATTATTTATTTGCATTAAATTGATTTTTCAAAAATATTTTTCTACAAATAATGAATGGTTATGTCCAATCTTGTATGCATATCTGTCCACAATTGTTAATTGCTCGTCTCTTAAAGTAGCTAGAAATAATGAAAGTTGTATATTATTTGTACAATGGTGGTGTTTGTTCAAGCTTTTTTTACCCAACTTCTAGCTTTTAGCTTAAAAAAAGCAGATTCAAATTGTTTGGCAGACTTCAATCAGCTTCAGCTTTAACTTCTACAACTTATACGGAAGGTAAAAAAAGCAGAATTTCAAAAGCTGGTTGAAGCTGCTTCAGATTCTCACGGGTATTATACGGAGGGTAAAGATACTTAAATGCCCTTAGTGTTTTGAAATATTTACTCTTATACTACCTACATATATTCTTTTTTTTGTCCTAATATTTCTCTTTGGCAAGAGATACAACAGCAACGTAACAGCATACTTGTGACTCTGGTTCGCTTCCAACGTTGGTTCACTTCCGAAGACGTGAAGCTCTGGTTTGTTTCCTGCTTTGGTTCGCTTCCGGCGACGTGCTGCTCTGGTTCGTTTCTGGCTCTAGGTCTCTTTCTCTCTTGCTCTCTTTCTGGTCGTTTGCTGCTTTGGTTTGTTTCCTTCATCTTTGACTTTTCCTTTTCCCTCTTGCTCGGCATGCATGTATATATATATATATGTATTGTTTTGGTTATTTGTGATTTTGTCTATTTCAAATTTGTTCAAATTGGGGAAAATAAGAATAGTTAGGGTTTAGGAAAAATTTGGAGAAATTTTATTCATGCTTTGATGTTAAAAACTTATGTAGGAGTTGACTGCCATTGCATTGATTTTTGGTTTATTAATGCTCTGTTTGTGTTTTTTTAGAGTTTCATTTTCTCTCTTCTTGATTTTTTTTTTTGTTTGTGTTTTTGTTGTTAAAAATCATATTCAGAGCTCTATAAGCTACTAATGCTGGTTATTACTTTGACATTTAGTATCATTGAATTTTTTAGAATATGTTTAGAAATGCCTTGTGCATGACCTTGCCCGGTTTTACCTTGATAAGTAAAGCAAATTGTATTAAATAGGCATCAAAAGTGTATGCCTGCCATATATCAAAAATTAACCCATACTAACCTATGCAAAAACAAAAAAAGAAAAAAAAAAAAAGAAAGGGAAATAAGGCACACATTTATTTTCTATTGTTGATAATAGAGCACTAAATAACCATAGGTTTTACAAAATAAGAAGTTGTTGTGTACACAAATATCTATTATAAGTAACTATTCACAATATTTTCAAACGCGTGTAAAGATGTTCTTACATTCAGTGCTTGCATTGCTGACTGTTGATCCATAAATACAACAAAAACAAATGGCTGTGAACACCCAAGAGCATGTTAGATATAAGCAACTCATGAGAGAGAAATGAGATATACAAATTCTGATAGATATAGGAATTAGTTTTACTCACAAACATGTAGAAAACATGTACCAATTCTAATACAAATTATTGTCTCACACACACCAATTTGTACATTGCTGGACATAGCTCATTTGTTGTATTATGTCGAACTAGTATCTCCTTCATGCTTTGAATGAGTGGTTAACACACCAATCTGTTTTTTTTTTTTTTTTTTTTTGATATGGTTTTTAATAATACGAGTAAGGGTTTGTTCAAACCATTATTACAATTCAAGTGTTTTTATTATTATGGTTTGTTTAATAGAAAATTCCCAACCACCATCACAATTTCCAACAACTATAAAGAGCAAGGGAAAAGCTTCCCAAAACTCCCAACCCTCACAAGGTTTAAAGGGACATTGGGATACAAAATCCACTGAAATTTTTGTCAAACTTTGTATGGAGCAAGTAAAAGCAGATCACAGACCTAGTACGCACATAGATAAGGTTGGTTGGGAAGCAATTATTAACAAGTTCATAATTGCAACTGGAAAGTCATATGTTCGCATTCAGCTTAAAAATCGTTGGGATACCTTAAAAAAAGAGTGGGATCTTTGGAAAAATCTATTAAGAGGTAAGACTGGGCTGGGTTAGATCTCTTGACTAGAGCTATCATGGTATCTGATGGTTGGTGGAATTTAAAGCTACAGGTTAGTGAATTATGTTAATTTTTTTTTCTTGCACACTTATACTTGAGCTTTATGATTTATATATTTGTAAGTATTTGTCCATATTTTGTTATAGAAGTATCCTGATGCGGCCAAATTTTGTGAAAAGCCATTGACATTGCTCGATGACATGGACATACTATTCTCTGATGTTTCTGCAACTAGTGAGTGGGCATACACCCCAAGCTCTGGAGTGTTTCTTGACACTGAGAGATCTCACACCCTACTTGGTGATGATACTGATACAGAAATCCATTCGTCTGAATTAAGCAACCAATGTTGTCACCAAAAAGAGGGTCCATCAAAGAAGCAAAAGGGGAACAAAAAACAATCGGCTACCTGTGAGTTGAGTAAGACACTTAATCGCATTGTCGATGCTAGAGATGTAAGAAAAATCGAAAAAATCGACCAAACTGATTGAATCGGACCAAACCGGCTATATTTGGTCTATTTTTTAACAAGAATCGGTCTGTGCGATTTTTTAATTTGATTTTTTTTGGTTTTTGGTTCGGTATCGGTTTAAGCACCTTGTGCACCGATCTAAACCTAAACCGAAACCGACCGCTTTAACATAAATTGTATTTATAATATATATATATATATATGTATAATCTAATAATATAATGATATTAATAAGTATAATAAATTATTAACATTAATTAATTAACCTTATCATCTTTATAACCTAAGTTTGTAAACTCTTATTATATATAATCTTAACTCTAACTCTTTATTTTTGAAACCTTAGTATTTTTAAACTTATTTTTATTTTTATTTTTGTTAATTTAGGAATTGAAAAGTAGGTATTAAATGGATGGATTGGATATGTTTGAAACGGTAGACAAATAACTAATTTAATATTTTTATATATATTAATGATTATATTTAAAAGTAGTTCAAGTTTGAAAAATCCTAAACGATTAAACCGCACCAAACCGAACCGTTTCAATCTGTTCGATTCAGTGCGGTTTGATGGGAGAAGCAGTTTATATTAGTGTTCAAAATAATAAAACCGACATTATCTATTCAGTGTAATTTTTTACCTAAATACCGATCATACCGAACCGATTACATCCCTAGTCGATGCTGTGGAGGTATCATCTTCAACTGGTGCACAGAATGCTGATATACAAAATTCGCACACAATAACTAAGTGTTTGGCTAAGATTAGCATAATCTCTGGCGTTAGTGAATACGATGACCTTTTAGTTTGGGCTGCAAGGTTGTTCATGAAACCCTCACTTCGTGAGTCTTTCATGGCTTTGCCTAATGATGTGTTGCGTTTAAAGTTTATTAACCTTGAAATTGCTTTGGAAAAGGCTCGCATTCTTGGTTTTCGTGATTAGTTCATTGTGTGAATAATTTTTTTTTTTAATTTTTGAAAAAAAAAGAAGACATTATTAGGACTATTTTCAATTAATTTGGCTTGATGTTGTATTTATGTTTGCCTCAGTGAATTATGTTTAATTTGTGCTCTCACAGATGGAATAGAAAGTATTATTGCAAGTTGTGCCATCGCGGATGGAATAAGAAGTATTATTGCAAGTTGTATTTGTCCACTTGTGTGCCATGTGATTTTGCAAGTTGTGATTTTGTCCATTTGCCTGCAAGTTGTACTTTGTCCATTTGCCTGCAAGATTGGAAAGAAGTTTTAAAAAAATATTATTTTAAATGATGGACATTGCAATGACATTGTCTATATATACTCTCATAGTGAACTTGTTTGCCATTCCGAATTGTTAAACAACCAAAAGGCATTCCAATCTTTGCAGGTATTCTGCTAATATTTGTCTAATTTTATTTTGTGTCTATATCCTTTAATTTTATGTGTTAAATTAATTTCTTATTGTTAAATTAATTTATTTTATCTATATCCTCTAATTTTATATTTATTTTATATGTTCAATTAATTTCTTATTGAATAAATGTGGTACATGACCCCAATTTCTATATAATATAAAAAAATGGACAATTTCAATGATGATGGTGATTATGATAACGATAACAATGTCGTTGGATCTTCACAACAACTAAATCACCCGCATGGGAATCCCTACCTAATGGCAACAGTAGTTGTAGGAACAATTTATGCAGAAAATTACCTAAATAAACAACCATGTAGGACATCTGCCCTCACAGGACATCAATGGATGTTAGAATTGCAACATGGTAATGCTACAAGAATATATGAAAATTTTAGAATGGACAGAGATGTTTTTTTTTATCAATTGTGCAATTTATTAGAAACTAACTATGAACTACTAAGTGGGAAAAAAGTTGGGGTTCAACAACAAGTTACTAGTTTTTTTTATATATTGTTGGTCAACATGCAAACAATATAAATGCTTAAGAAAGATTTCAATTATCGGGTGAAACTATTTCAAAATACTTACATTCTGTTTTAAACGCGTGTGTGAAAATGTCTGTGGATTGGGTGAAGCCTTGGCAGAGAAATGAGGTCCATCAGTATATAAAGAATAGACGAAAATATTACCCTTATTTTAAGGTAACTAGAAATACTCTCTCTCTCTCTCTCTCCCTCTCTTAAAAAAAATATTTTATGATATTTTTTGTATATAGAATTGCATTAAGGCAATTGATGGAATCATGTGGAAGCAGAATACTTACCCCATTTCATAGGTAGAAAGGGATACGCTACACAAAACATATTGGCAGTATGTGACTTTGATATGTGTTTCACTTTTTACTTACCTGGTTGGGAGGGAAGTGTACATGACACGTGAATTTTTTGAAATACAGTTAGGAAACCAAGCAATAATTTTCCATATCCAGAAGGAGGTATGTATGCAACACAAATTAAGATTTATTCATTTATTCTATATTAGTTATATTTGTAATGAGTTCATGTTTTACTTTGTAGATGAGTATTATTTGGTTGATTCTGGCTATCCAAACACAAAGGGTTATCTTGTGCCGTACAAAGAGGAGAGATATCATTTAGCTCAATTTGACCATCAGCATCCTCAAATTGCACATGAAAAATTCAAAAAAACACATTCATCACTCAGGAGCGTAATAGAAAGATCATTTGGTGTTTGGAAAGCAATATGGCCTTTTATGAAAGATATTCCATGCAATTACAATTTTGTTTGTCAACGGCAACTTGTTTGTGCTACTATGGCGATCCACAATTTCATTAGACGCACTAATTTAAGGGATATTGCATTTGACTCTTATAATAAACATATTGAGTATGTCCTTGTTGACGAGGAAGCAGTGGTAGGGGAAGACCGACATGGGCATCCGATTCGTAATGATGATTATGAGATGGATTCAAGAAGATATGAGATTTTAATGTCAATTTCTCAAGGAAATAATTATTAAACTATAATAAATTAATTTTTGTGTAATATTTATTTCATTACTCTTATTATCTAAAAATAATAGGGTTATGTTAATTTGGTGTTGGAATGATCTCTTAATATGTAATTAATAGCAAAAAGTCTAGATAAATTTAATTTACGACTAACAAGGGTAAAAAAGACATATACACAGCAAAAAGCTACTTCACAGCTTATTTAACAAACATTACTCAGCAACTTAAATCCATAATTCAACAGTTACACCAAACAGATTAACAGCTTCTAATTAAAGTCATAGTCTATAATCTGTTTTAATAGCTATACCAAACAGCCACAATGTGATTGGATTTATGGATTTGAAATGAAAAATTTTCCACTAATGATCAATGGAGAATAATTCGAATTTGGAACATTTGTCAAAGATCAATGAATTAATTATTGTCATTAAAATTTGAGGGAACATAGTGAAAGTTCAAGGGTGACAAAAAGTAAAATTACATACCCGATTTACAGTCCTTCCTAATTCTGTATATACATGTTCGTCACCATATCAAGAACAATAATCTTCTTCATAAGCTTCTGCAGTAGAAATCTCATAATCCAATTCGTTTATCAGCTGATCGCTTACATGTTTAGCCCACATATATCATTTCAAGAATCACACTCGAATCTATAGAAACCAAGACAACAGAGCTCATTTGGGATTCCTCTTGTGATGTTGGATCTTCAATATATATAACGTCTACTCACCTACAAAAAAATGAAGCAGAAAATATTGATGTAACAAAATTAAATTATGAAGAAAAACAATTGTTAAAGTAACAACACAATAGCCGTTAGCTAACATCTATTTTTACTGTCGATAAAACGAAATGAAGCGAAAGAAACAAAAATTTACCAAAGGAATATGATGCCCAAACAAACAAATGGCCTTAACAACTAACATCTTAAAATCAAACAAAAACATAAAACATAGATAGAGAAAATGTAGAAAACTTTATTAAGAGTTACAAGGTGAATTGATTATATGTGCTATAGAAGAAGTAAGAAGTGTTAGGGATGGCAAGACTTCTGATTTCAACCCATCCAGTCAAAGCAAGACCTTAAGGCTTGACCTCACATGGTTGTAAATGAACCAAGTATATCTGAATTTCAAGCTTTGGTAACGTATCAATCAAGCGAGTGAGCAAGCTTTACTTAAGCCAATCTTAATCCAAGCTCCAATATATTGATTTTACATGTTGTTTTCAGATACTCAATAGTAAATTTTTTATTTTATTTTTGATCGGTGAAAGTCAATTGTTAATAGCTAGATTAGCGCTTGGTGAGAGTTGAACTCCCAACATCTCCCTTGCGAAGTGTTTCCTCCATGATACTAGACCATGTGTGGATGCTCATTAGCTTACTATATTGAAAACAATATAATTAATGGTTTTTATGCACATAAATAAATGAGGGAAAAAATAAGTGTTTGGTTATAAGTCACCACATAAACATGAAATCTAATTATTGAATTTATAGATTTATTATCATGTAATCTATTATATAAATTGTAATTGTTGGATCAACTATGTAATGTATTCCATCCTTGTTAAACAAAGAGAACATGTGTATGAAGTCTGTTTGTGTGAGCTTAGAGGAACTCTTCTCTTCAAAAGCTCTGTGACAACCCTCACCTCTGATTACTGCTAAACTGTGACTGAACATGATATGTAACTGGTTAGACTGAAATTCTGAACTGATTGTGTGTGTATGTTGTTTTAGTGCGTTTCTATCTGTTTGCAATTGATTTATCTGTTCATGTTTTAAGTTTCGAACTGTAAATTGAAGGCCTTATCGGTGGCTGAATTAGAAATTGATTGGTATTTCATGCTAATTAGAATTTATGTGATTTTATGGTAGGTTAATTTAAATTTGATTTGGAACGATTAAGTTAGATTAAATAATGTTAAATTACAATAGTTCAAGTTTATTACCAAAATGCCATTAGTGGGCCACTTTCATAAATCATCTTAAGACTTGATTATATGTTAATTTGCATCATCTTCATTTCCTCTAGAGACCAAAAACGTGAGAGAGAGCTAGAGAGTTGGAAGAAATTGAGTTCACCAAGAATTGCTTGGAGAATTAGAAGAATTGAAAAGTAGATTGCATAATTGAGCTTCTAGACTTGAAATTGAGGACCTAAGGTAGGATATTTATCCTTTAGTTTATGAATTCAAGTTGGTTCTTACATGGTTCATGAGTCATTAGTGATTTAAGTCAAGAATTGGTTTAAAGAGTTGATTTGAGTAGCTAAATCATGCATGCATGTACACATTGTTGAGTTTTGAGGTTGATTTCATGGAAATCCTCACATACATGTCTATATTCTAGCTATGTTCCATGCATTCATCATGTTTTTGAATGAATTGACTCATTTGATCAAGTATTTGAAGCTTTGATTTCAATTGAACACTTGTATGTTACATATACATTATGTTCATGAAGTTTTGTTTGGATTTGTGTTTAATTGAACTACCCTTGGGCTTTGATTTTGCAAATTGATCTTTGAAACATGTCATATTATAAGTTTTAAAGTGTTTTCCAAAAATTGGCCCAAAAGAATCAAATTTGATGCTTTAAATGTTGAATTTGAGCTCGGAGGTTCAATTTGAAAATTCCAGACTTTAGACCCACGCTCGAGTGTAAGACTTCACGCTCGAGCGTACACTCTGAGTACATGCATCCCACTCAAGCGGGGAAAGTAACGCTCGAGCGTGAAATACGTGTATCCAGTACTTTTCATATGTTTACAGTCCGCTCGAGCAAGGAAATGAACGCTCGAGCGAGGACCCCTGTTTTCTGAAAATTTTGAAAAGTGCTTTAAAGTACATCCTTGCATCCTCTTTCCATCCTAGGCATTCTTAGGCCATGTTTAAGGCATCTTAATGAGGATATTGATGTAGAACCACACCGAGTCAAGATAGGGACTAAGTCATTGATTCCCAAGTGTGTAACTTAGTGTATGTTCATTTTGTAACTGTGTAGGGTTGGCATCCGAGGACGCTCATTAGCCGCTTATAGCCCAGTGCTTAGTAAGTAACAATGTTGTAAAGATATGTTCAATTATGAATATTTTCTGAATGATCAACTATTCTGTTTACTGAAACATTACTGTTTAATGAACGAATGTTTGTCCTATTTGTAAACTGTATTCGTGGCATCCTTAGTAACTTACTGTTACTGTACTGTTACTGCTACTGTCACAGAGATCTCTATCGGTTCCCTTGTTTGGAACCACTAATGTTTACTGTTATGATGGCCATCAACTGACTGCTCGGTCTGCTAAGACCTACTGTACTGTTTGCTATTGGATGTACCACACATACCTGCTATGGTTTCTAAATGACTGATATCACTGCTTAATGACTGAAAGGACATTCATTCTTAACCCCTTTACGCATTTGTTATTCACTGAGTTTTAACTCACTGTTTATATATATATATATATATGTAGGTGTTCAGGCACCGGATTGATGCTAGGAGCGTCGGGTTAACTCCCTCTTTGTCAAGCCAACCATTGTGCCTCACCTCGAGGTTCCAAGTCTGACCGAGCTAAGGCTGCTTTAGGGTGTCTCAGTTCCATCCTTCCGTCTCTGTTTTGTAATACTGTTTATGACTTGTACCATACTCTGAACGTTTGTACATATGGTGTATATATGTTTTGCTTATGAATGTGAATATGTTCGGAAAAGTCTTTTTGCATACAGACTGTCATAGCTCATTGGATATCTTTTATTACTGTTTTGGCTTCCGCCAGGCCCTGTATTCTGTATTACTATCTTTACTATCAAGCAGGCCTTCGATAATCACGGATTACTGGCCGGTTACGGTGCTAAACCCATAGGGACAGGTTTGGGTCGTGACAAACTCCTTGCTTTAATACATCCATGATCTTATCCTTAAATTCAGAGCCTTTCGTGTCCCCATCCTCAATTTCCATCTCCTCATCATCTCTTTCATCATCGATCTCTACACTTAGGTCCTTACCAGTGTTCCCTAAAATGGATACATCCATTGCTATCATTGTATCTTCTGATGCTCCATTCTGTGACATTAATAATGTCACTTGCTATCATCCATTGCTATCATTGCTATCATTCGTTATCATTGCTATCATTTGCTATCATCACATCCATTGCTATCATTCGTTAGGGTATTAACATTTTCTGGTAACATAGGTCCCCTATCACTCATGATTTTCGTCGTCATTTCAATCATCGTTAATCATTACACATATATCTCTTTCTTCCAATGCTATTGCTGATCCCCGTCATCATCGACTTTGACATTAATAATGTCACTTTACATTATAGAATACCAATAGAAATTTACTTTATCTAGACCCATCAAAAACATTGTGAGAAGAAAATGTAACTAAGCATATGAAGAATTATAGGTAAATCTAAAAGGGAGTTGTTTATGGTATGCATTTTTAAAAAATGTGAATATCGTATGCTCATTTCATGATCTCAGATTTGAAACCTCTTAGGTGGAAACAACAATTTCATAAGATCAGTCTATATGAGACTTTTACCCTAGCGTTAAATGGCACCCCACCCCTCGGGCGGCTAGTAGACAGTGAAATTAGTCCCCAAAATTAATTAATCCAATGAGCCGAATACCGAGTTATCCAAACAAATATATATTCTATTATATCATAATATACATAACGTAATTATGACATTTTGTTACAAACATCACTCCAAGTCATAACTCTACTCACTAAAATTATTCGTAATATTTTTAAACTTGTAACATTATTTTAATTTAAAGGTACACATCTTATATTCGTATGTCACAAACTAAGCTAACACATATCACAAACACTCAACTTTCATCAAAATAAATAAAATAAAATTATCATGAAATGTATCAAACATGAAGACATATAAGAAAATTGTGTCAAAGAACAAATTCATCATTAATTCTTTTCATTTAGATTCAGTGATGTCAATTATTTATGTCGATAATCTCCAT